ATAAAATAAAATAAAATAAATACAATAGTGTCTCAGTATAGAAAAATGTAAAGTACTGCACATTGGGGCAAAAAAAATCAAAATTTTAGTTATCAGCTAATGGGTTCTGAGCTGTCCGTGATGAATCAAGAAAGAATCTTGGTGTGCTGGTGGACAGCTTGATGAAAGTGTCAACCCAGCGTGCGGCAACAGTGAAGAAGGCCAATTCCATGTTAGGTATCATTAAAAATAAAATAGCCATCATTATAATGCCATTATGCAAAATGTTGGTAAAGGCCACACCTGGAGTATCGCGCACAGTTCTGGTTGCTGCACCTCAAAAAAGACATTGTGGAACTGGAAAAGATGCAGAAGAGAGCGACTAAAATGATGACTGGGCTGGAGCACCTCCCTTATGAGGAAAGGCTACAGCGTTTGGGGCTCTTTAGTCTAGAGAATAGGTGACTGAAGGGAGACATGAGTGAGACATATAAAGTTATGCAGGGAATAGATAAAGTGGATAGAGGGAAGCTCTTTACCCTCTCACACAATACCAGAACCAGGGGACATAAACTCAAATGGAGTGTTGGGAGAGTGAGAACAGACAAAAGAAAATATTTCTTGACCCAATGTGTTGTTAGTCTTTGGAACTTCTTACCACAGGATGTGGTGATGGCATCTGACCTAGATGCCTTTAAAAGGGGGTTGGATAGATTCTGAGATGAAAAATCTATCACAGGTGACAAGCCTTGATGGGGATACAGTGGGGTCTTGACTTGAGAACTTAATCCGTATTGGAAGGCGGTTCTCAAGTCAAAAAGTCTGTAAGTCAAGTCTCCATTGATCTGCAGTGCATTGAAAACCGATTAATCCCGTAACAAGCCGTTTTTGTTCCATTTTGGTTTTTTTCTGGTCTGTAAGTCAAATCTCAGTCTGTAAATAATCTAAAGCAGTGATTCTCAATCTTTGGTTGACCAGTTCCCAGAATCTCATCCAACATGGCCAGCGGCAAGGGATTTTGGTGTTCAAAACATCTGGAGGACTGAAGATTGAGAATCATTGATCCAAAGCATTACAAGCACCAGGGCTGCATACTAAGGTCATTCTTTTAAACTGGCAGTTCAGATCTCAGAAGAATAATGACCCCAGTCTGCCTTTGTACTTGGGATTATTCCCAGGACCATTTAATGTGAAGCTGATTGTCATTCATGATTTTAGTACAGTGGTGCGTCGACTTACAAACGCCCCTACGTATGAACAATTCTACTTACGAACAGCTCTGTTCACAAAATTTTGCTTCGACTTGCGAACGGAGCTTCAACTTACAAAAAACCCACAAAAATGTGGGAAATGGACTTTGGACTGCCGGGTAATGTAATTTTAAAATGTAAAAATTGGTTTAAAAGGTGCTTGGCTTGGTTTAAAGCTGCTTGGTTTTAAAGGTGTTTTGTTTTAAACGTGATCATTCCCTCCTTTCCTGTCCTTTTTTAAACTTTAGGTAATCTTAGGTTAAAAGAAGAAAAAAAATTTCCCCTAGTGGTAGAGGCCGGATTAACCGCTTTTGCATTAGTTCCTGTGGGAACTAATGCTTCGACTTACAAACGGTGCCTCTACATAAGAACAAAAAACAGCCAGAATGGATTAATTGGTTTTCAGTGCATTCCTATGGGAAATGCTGATTCGACTTATGAACATTTCGACTTACGAACACTATTCTGGAACGGATTAAGTTCGTAAGTCGAGGCACCACTGTAGTGTATGCCAATTATTTCTGTTAAAATGCTTTTGCAAAAACTGCCTTGGATCTTGAGCTCTGAGTCTTCTGAGAATAAGGATACTCAGACTTTATCCTTCCTTTTTATTTCATTTTTCATTTTTCTAGATTCTTCTGTGAATATGACTTATGTTTACAAAACAAAATATTCAAATTATCTCTGAACAAATGGGGGAAAACTGAGTTCTGTTCATTGATTCTGAACATGCATATTATTGAAGAAGGTATGAAGTGGCTTGTTAGATTAGACTAAATTCCATCAAATCCAACATTATTTGCAAGAACTCCATACAACCTGCTGGAAATTACCTGTTGATCCATAAGTGTTCCATATTGTGTCCTTCTCTCAATAGACAAGAATGTTCAATCCTTTTCAGACTGTATTCATGTAAAACATATTATTAAAGGACATTGGGTGATCAATTAACAATTTCAAATGACTTGAATGCTGTTATTTTCTTAGCTTCCACAGTAATAGTTCTATAAAGTAGAACTATCTACTATTTGACTCTCTCTCGTATTTGACTCATCTGCAGAATGAGATTACAATCCTAAATCCACATATCTGGAATAAAGCCAATTTAATTCAGTGGCTTTTATGTCTGAGTAGAAACACTTAGAATTGAGGTACAAGCAGACTGAATTTTCATGCAGTCTATTGACAACCATCATCTTCATTCATTTTTGTTCCCCAACAGGCAGGAGAAAAACACTACCATCCAACCTGTGCACGTTGTGTCAAGTGCAGTCAGATGTTTGCTGAAGGAGAAGAAATGTATCTTCAAGGTAATGTGGAAATATTTGAATTACTAGCACTACAGAACAATTTTAGGAAGAGAAAAATCAGTTGGTCAATCATAAATAGATCTGGTTCCATTAGGGTTTTCATATGATAAACTTATCTTTACCTTTCTTTGGATAGTTGACTAGGAAGGACAGGATAAAAACAATCAATGGAATTAAATTTTTTTTCAAAATCACAATATATGTGTGTGAATGTAAGGTTTTGCAGGGGAAAGTTCTATTGCTTTGTGCTGACTGAGCAGCCATCTTAGTTGTGATAACTATTATTTTGCACTTGGGCTTGCAGAAACAATTAGAATATAACATTTGATTTGGCATACTGATTTATCTAGGCCTCATTCGATTCCAGTAAAACAATGCACAGAAGAAATGTGCTTTTGTGTGTGTGTGTGTGTGCGCGTGCACACACACACACACACACATAGATAATGTTGGCGATTGAGAAGTATGCTATGCATGGAAGACTCAAGAAACTGCAGGTATATAATAGGGGTTAGTTAGTTAGGGCAACCCATCACCCTAATAGTCTGTTTAATCTATGAGAAATAGCAATTTTTTTGATCTCTCCCGTTCCCGTTTGTTGGGTTGACAGATACTTGTAGGCATGACTTCACCTCCCTCCTGTCCAATCATCTTCCAGTTCTCTCTTAGAATGTATCTTAGCTTACATTAGTATCCTAAATTCATGATTCTGTTCATGATTAAGTTCATATAAAGCCTATTTATCTTGAGCCACAGCAGGTCAGAATTCAGGAACCATTCTGCTGCCACTTCTGCTCTGTCGCAAGTTCTGACAGGGAGAGGCAGAATATAAGCAGATGTGCTGCAACCATTTGTTTTATTTACACAGGCGCAAGACAGGTGATATAAGCTTAAGGAATGAATTGGCTCCAGCATGCCAGCAGCTCAGTGCCCTTGCCAACAATGATTGCTGTCCTAGTAGGGGTCATCTGAGGTGAAAAATACGGCCATCTATAATGGCAATCAGAGGTGGACGAGTATGGCTGTTCCTGTTTCTGTCCTACCCCACTGGGAACAGTTTACGAGCTCATGAGCTCTTGGAGAGGGAGGCAAGGTTAGGAGCTGTCCTGAGCACATGTGCACAGTGTGCATGATCAATTGTTACATTGCATGCAAGGCGAACAAGTCAGCTCTCTGTTATTATTGGCAGGGTGCTTTGCTTGTTCTATGATGACATCCCACTAGCATTTGAAGACTGGCTGCTCCTGAAATTATGCTAATAAAAGCAATCACAAAGATAAATATTAATTAGAATGGCAACTCTACTTTTCAGGGACCTCCATTTGGCATCCAGCTTGTAGACAAGCAGCCAAAGCTGAAGAAAAGAGCAAGGTAAATTCTCCTCATTGAAAATTTAGTGCATTTTTATTTCTAAGTTATCTAGACCATTAGACTGTATTTAGCTTTTGTAATTTCATGTGTTAAAAATAGAGAAGTGACAGCCCAGAAGAATTTTGAAGATGGGGAGTGTGTATTGAGCATTTTTTTCAATTTTTTCCACTGAGAAAATGGAGAAAACATATATTTAAAGTGCTCACTTATGAAATATTCCTGTTTTGCAGTGATGAGTGAAGTCTTTTCAAATGGTGTTTTAAAGAATATTGTTTTAACTATGTTTTTTGAGGAAATTGTGATTTGGAAATAAATGAGCCTTCACCTTTTGTTATCCGCTTCACTACTTAGTAGTAATACTTCTCCTGTGATAGAGAAAAGAGTCCTTTTTTTACATTACTGTCAACGTCAAATTACAAATATAAAGTTCCTTAACCAATAAAAAACAAAAACTTTCTTACAGAGTTCAAGTTAGGACTCAATCACACATGAGAAAGGAACTCCAGTTATGCTGATTCATACCTCTGTTTTACTGGTACATTTTCCCCCCAGCGGTCATGTGGTATATGTATTCAGCAGGAGCGTTGACAATGTTTTTAACTGTATTGATTCATTTCTTTCTATTTGAACAGTTATGGAAGGCTATGCTGCTCTTTAATTTTGTATCAGTTCATTTTCTCTACTGCTTCTTGGGGCAATCAGCCCCCCTTAGGCCTTTTTTAAAAAATTATCAAAGCTGATCTATCAATGAAACCCTGCCTTCTCTCCCCTCCTCCCTCCCCTTTCCCCTTCCCTCCTTTATACACTTTACCTGCATGACTCTCCCTCTCAATTCATGGCTTTAATTTATTTTTCCCCTTTGAACACTATTGGGAGGAGGAATCAGGTTTTGAAACACTTGCAAAGTATTGTGAAGAGTAGAGTTAAAAAAATGCAATGCTCGCTTCTTTAGAATTCAAAGCAGGAAATCTCAAGTCTTTCGGTGGTGGGAGGCTGTCTCCTTCTAAAATGCAATGCTTGCTTCTTTAAAATGCAAAGCAGGAAATCTCAGGTCCTCTTTCGGTGGTGGGAGGCTGTCTCCTTCTGAGCAATGTATGGTTTTGTTTGTTTGTTTTGTGACAGTAGCACCATAGGTTGCTAGTAACCTTTTTAAGGATGCCAGTGCAGTGGCTGTGAAGTGGCCAAAGCATCCAGAAATCTGACCCCTTACAAAGGAAGTAAATTGACAGCAACATTCACACTTGCTGATAAGGAATTGAATGATTTATCATCAATGCAGTTTAAAATAACTCTCCCGGTGGGGAGAAATAAACCAATTGCCAGGGCAAATGATCAATGTTGCCCATACCTCAAGTGAACAGAAAATTATGAAACAATCTTAAAAACAGCCAAATCAGTATAACTGGGTGTTTTATTTTTTGGTCAGGTGTGATTGCCCTTACTTTATGTCCAAAGTAACAGAGGACAGTGACTATATATTTTTGTTTCCAGAAATTTAAAAAAAAATGCTTATTAAATACTTATTACAAATTTGTTGTAATACATAAATAGCCCAAATGCATGAAATGATTACCAAACATTGCCATAGACTCACAGTGGATTGGGAGGAAGGAAAAAATTAGCAGAATGAAGAGCCTACAGAGAGTATCTGTGAAGATTCTCAGTCATTCAGGTGAGGTTATCTGGAAGTTGAGTCATGGCAACTGTTAGGCTGAAACGTTTCACTACTCATCCAAGTAGCTTCTTCAGTCTGAGGAGGGTTGGTAGGAGATCTCTGATATATCCTCCACGTTGGTTTTACTTCCCCACAAATGAAACCAATGTGGAGGATATATCAGGGATCTATGCCAGTCCATTGACTCAAGAAGTAAGAGTTCACATGCTAGTATTGTGATACGAGAAATAGCAGTATATGAGAAATAACAATTCTGAAACCATATCCTGGTTGTTATGGCATAATTGCTTAGGAAATGGCATGGGTTTAGGAATGCAGTCCTGTTCTGAGTTCAGTATGTCCAGGTGGTTTTGAGAAGCATCCTTTTAATAACACAATACATAACAAAATTCATTTTCTGTTTTTTTTTTAAGTTGCAGGAAACTAGAACATCATCTGAGAGCATAATTTCAGTACCTGCTTCAAATACTTCAGGTTCCCCAAATCGTGTAATTTATGTAAGCATTCACAGTTTCTACTTAAAAAATAAGTGAAGACAATTGAAAGTAGACAGAAAACAGTGAGTTTCGTGTTTTAAATCATTTGTAAGCTGTCTTGAGTCTCTGCACAGGGAGGAAGAAGGGATTGAAATTAAATAAATAAAATCAAAGGTAAGAAACCATATTGCAGTTATTATCTGTATAAGAATCTGTATAAATAGTGAGTGTTCCAGGGACGATCCACAACACCGTAGCCCATGAGCATAATCATTTCTGTTTTACTAGGCTGGCCTTGTTTGATTGCTCTTATCCAACTTTTCTCAGTCGCCAGATGTCTGTACAGTGTCCTGCATTTGTGGAAAAAGAGAATATGAGTAGGATATCATCAGAACAATAATTGCACCACACTCTACCTCTGCACAATGCTCACAAGTAACTTTATATACACATTGAAAGTCTACTGTTGACAGAAAATCAAGTATCTTGGCAATGAATAAGAGCACCTGTTGGTATGTTCCTAAATAAACACAGGGAAAGGACCAAATTATCAGATCACCAGTACTTCCACATTATCTGCTGAATCCATTGCTATGTGCTATCAAAAGTTGCTGGGAAGTAAAGAAAACATAGGATGAAGAATTGGTTTTTCCCTGTCCATCTGCTGACACAAATGACCACAAAAGTAGCCTCCATTCCAGTTCCTAGCCTGAAGTCAGACTGAAAGGGCATGTAGAAAATCATCTTCCTCTGAGAGTAATTGAAACTGGTGCTCACTAAGTGTATTTCACCTGAGTGAATACATGAAGCAAATAGTTCATACTGTCGATACCTTGTTATTTCATCATGGGTCTTCTTTGTGGAAGCAAGATAAAACAAAACAAGAGGGAAGGAAAATGGCACCTTTTTTCCATAAATCAATATAGTGTTATTGATGGATCCGACCTGCTGATGGATGGATCCTATCTGTGCAGTACCAGCAGGTCAGATGAATGGGTGTCAAATTCATGACCGTTTCTCAAGGAGAATATCAACTTTCTATAGCTTGTTGGAGATCTATCCCATTTGCCACCTCCAGTGAGAGACTAGCAAATAAAGATGGGCCCTAACCACCAATTCAGTAGCTCATGTCAGTTCATCCTTTGGACAAACAGGTGTCCAGCATTTCCCAGCCACGTCTACTCCATCAGGCGCCCACTCAGAGGCTGTGCCCCCTGCTTCCCTGCCCCACGTCTTCCAGGTGCTGCCGCTGAGTGGGCCACCTGCCAGAGGAGGTGGGGTTGGGAAGCACCAAACACCTGTTTGGCCAAAGGGCAAACTGGTACAGACTGCTAAACTGGTGGTTTGTGCCCACCTCTAGCAGAAGAACATTTTTAAAAATGAAGTTGTAAAGAAGATGATGGTGAGGGGGGAAAGTAAAGCTACCACTGTGGCAGTTTCAAAATGGAAAGAAGCAAGTTAACACTGCTAATTCAGTGAGTTAAAGGTTTTTCTTTCATAACACAAACAGCAAATCATTTGGCCCATTGCTGGTGTTTAGTACTGACAAATTAATCTTTTAAAAAAAGCAAAGTATGCTGCATATATACTGCCCCATAGTGCTTAAACCACTTTGGGCAATTGACAGTTTAATTATGCAGGCTACTCATCCCCTCCCCCATGAGCTGGGTACTCAATTGACCTCAGAAGGATGGAAGGCTGAGTGAACTTTGAGCCAACTACGTGGTATACAACAATGAGCAGAGTTTTGGCTTCAGTACAACAGTTTAATCACTATATCATGAGACTCCTTTAAACCTGGCATTCTAAGCTTTGGCCTTTCACAACTATTCTTCCTGTCATCAAAATGGATTCCAAAGTCCTGTTGGACATGGACAGTGCTCCTCAGTGTTTCAATGAGCACCGTTTGCTCCTAGGATCCTAAGACTGAGTGCAGGAGGCATTGCCTTCAGATCTCTGGCTGTCTTCAGGAGTGGACTTGTCTTCAAACCATTACACTGGGAATCCAAGGGGAAAATGCTCATTGCCTCCTCCAGACACTGGAAAACATAATCACTGTTGATGGCAAATTTGTAACTGGGTTCACCCCCTTTTGTGTCCCTCCACACGGTATGGAACAGCAAAAAGGTGAGACAAGGAGTTTGTCAAGTAATCAAATCCGAAGGTAGGCACACTGCAGCTCAAGTCTTTAACTGACATAGCTTAAGAGGGAAATAAAACTAAATTTGTCCATTATTGAGAGAGAGTTGATTACATGACACTTTTTTACATCTTTAGTAGCAAAAGTGTGTTGTGAATATTACTGTTTTTTTTAAAAAAATGTAAGTTATTCTTTGTTTTACTTTTCTTTTAAGGCAAAACTTGGAGATGAAATCCTTGATTACAGAGATTTGGCTGCTCTTCCTAAGGATAAAGCCATCTATAATATAGACCGCCCAGACATGATCTCCTATTCTCCATACATCAGCTATGTGACAGATGACAGACACAGTTATGGAGAGGTACTGACATAATATATTTGTGTTTGTATTTATGTTTAGGGGTGTATGTGCATTCATGTGTGTATGTGCATGTGTGTGTGCTGTCCAGTCAGTCAATCTTAGCAATGAAACAGTAGCCAGTATCTTACTGCATAGCTCTGCCGGCACAATAGGGGTGACATCATGGGTAGTGCCAAATTGCTCCTAATTAAAGAATTCCTTTTATGAATTTTGAGTGCAGATGGCTTTGTATCATTGCATGTCAATCACATCCACCCCAAAATCACAAAAAGAAGCTCTCTAATTCGCAAGTCTTTTGCTCCTAGTGCCATCACTCCCTCAACAGAAAACAGGTCTGTGAGTTTCCAGATTTTGTTAGCAGTTATGCACATGCATATTAGCTATTATGCTCAGATATTGTAATTCTAAATTACCATATTTTTTCATTTATAAGATGCCCTAATATATAAGATGACCACCCCTTTTCTAATCCCAAATTAGAAAATTTGATCCCTGCTTTTCCCTTCCTTTTGCTAAGCCATGGAGCTGAGCAAAAGGAAGGGAAAAGCAGGGATCAAAGGGCTCCCTTTTGACCGCCACTTCCACTTGCCTTTTGCAAAGCCACAGGGCTTAGCAAAAAGGAAGGGAAGGCTCCTTCTGGTAAAGGCTGCACGATCGCACCCCTTTGATTCTGAAGCAGCTATGAAAGGGCTTCAGATCAAAGGGCTGCAATTGTGCAGCCCTTTCATGGCTGCTTTACCCAAAGGGAGCCTTCCCTTCCTTTTTGCTAAGACCCGTGGCTTCGCAAAAGGCAGGGAAAAGCAGCTGCCTTCCGTGTATAAAATGACCCTCACATTTTTTGTCTAATTATTTAAGGAAAAAGTGTTGTTTTATACAGGGAAAAATATGGTTTATTTTATTTTTTAAAACAACCATGTTTTTCTATGAAGCCATAGTTGCATACATGTGATACAACTAATGCTAAAATTAACTTTTAAATACAGTTACCACTTCTCTTTCCATAGATTCCCTTCTATATGGATGGGTGTGCTGTGCATTGGGTTGAATGCACAGAAGGACTTTAAATTCATGTAAATTCCAGCTGAATAGACATGTACTTCAGTGCACCCAGTTAATCTGACAGACACATTTCTTCTAGGCATCTTGATTACTTTGTGCCTCCAGGCAATACATACCTAAAGAACTTGTTAAAAAACATTCCTGGCAATTGCTTTGTGTTTGGGTGAACAGTGGTTAACTGATGAAAAAAGGAGTCAGCTTCTGGGATTTCCCCCTGGCTAATGTCTCCTTATGAATGGTAGGGAGCACAAGCGACAGATGAAAAAAGGAGTCAGCTTCTGGGATTTCCCCCTGGCTAATGTCTCCTTATGAATGGTAGTGAGCACAAGAGGGTATCCTGTAGACCATCCTGACTGCTGCCATTGGTGTTGTTTACATTCATGCTTCCCTTTGCTCTGTAAAGCTTATCAGCAATATCAAGCCATCTCCTGGCATTTTGAATAGTCAATATAGAAACATGATATCCCACATACGTAAACAAGAGGTTTTTGAAGAATTGAATTTTCTGGTTGTTTAAAGCAGAAGTTTGTGTACATAAACTAAACACAAATTCCCTCAATGCTGAAGGATTCCAGAAGATGAGCATATGATTTGTGCTGGGGTTGCCATGAGAGGACAGAAGCAAGAACAGCTGGGATGTGGCTTGCAGTTCCTCTGTGCCAAAATAGTTTGAAGGGCTGTTTTGGACTTAAATAAATGGTGAAGCAAAAGTGTGAGTGGGTGCAACACATACAACAGAGAAACATGGACACTCTTTACCATCTCAGCTAAACGTGTTGTCATGCCCGCTCCACAGAATTCAGACTAGAAAGCTATCTTCCAATTTTTAACCCCTTACTCTTCAAACATGTTTGCTTGCACATTTTCCAGAATATGTCCCTTCATCTTTTGAATTAAAAATAAGGAGGTTGGGAGTTAGCAAAGATTATAACTTGAAAGCACGGTCGAAGTCATCCATAGTATATAAAAGATGGACTATGTTTTCACAAAATTTTCAAAAAGAAAAAAAGGGGGGGGGAGATCAATTCATTTGAAATTTGGTTTTGGAGGTGAGCCTTACACATGTCACAGACCACCAGACAGACGAATAAATAGATGCCCAATCAAATAGTGTGAACTCTCACTAGAGCAAAAATGAATGCATTGAAGCTATGCACATATAGTGGAAATACAGAAAATATTGCTGGGAAAAATAAGGGGAAGGAAGTAGGAGAGGAAGACTTAGCCGCTCAGAGTGGTATAATTATACCAGATGGGCGGGATATAAATCAAATAAATAAATAAGTATAAATAAATAAATTATGCGGTGAGTTGATTCAAAAAAGGAACCCACAGCTGTTTGTTTGAAAGACGTGAGCAAAGGTTTCTGGAACTCGGAAGTGAGGGCAGTAGGAAGAGGGAACAACCTAACATGAGATGCTGTTTTACAAGATCTGAGCAGAGCTGTCAGTGATAGGACATTTGGAAGGTCATTAACTCACATAGTCACCATACATCGGAAGTGACTCGATGGCATGTAACATCTTTGAAGGTTTTTTTCTTAATTACCAGGGAATAGTATACTAACAAGACAAGTGGAATGGTGACACAGAATCCCTTTCCCAGCATAAGTGCCTGTTTGGCCAGGAAGAAATTAGCTAAGAGTCAGGTAATTAGATCCTGATTGACAAGGTCAAAAATTCTGATTTCCCTGTATGTGGAACTGATTTCTTCTTTGAAAACTTTTTTGAAGAGACTGTTTCTAAGAGAATGTTTGCTGAAAGTGCTAGAACAAAACACAACTGCTATCTGTTTTTCTAAGGCAAGGGGAAATACTTTGAATATGCCTTACAAAAATGTATGCCCATTCCCTGAAGACACATGGCAAATGTTCCCCTTTCTAGAGGTTTGTCACTCCATTACTTTTTTGCTTTTAAAAAAGGCCTTTTTAAAGTCTGTTTCTGTGACCTTTAGTTGGTCTGCAGCTCTCTAGAAGTCTCCCTACCCCCTTATGAATATATACAATGTTTCATTTCATGAAATTCCCGCTAGCAAGGCTGTAACAATTCATGCTCAGTGTTATAACGAAGTGGCTGTGTTTCCATTTCAAAAGATCTTTTTTGGTGATTAATATTTCAGCTCCTGTGCAGCCTGGATTGTTTCCAAATAAAAAAGGAGGGGCAACCATTTTATTACTGTTGAGAATTTTGATGATAACGTGTATCCTCATAACATCAGCAGAGTAAGGAGATAATGGTTAGCAGAGATACTTAGGTCACTATGACATTGAGAGAGTAAAACCAACAACTCAGTCTATTTACATATATACATAGAGAATAGTCATTCCTCTGGCAGCATAACATAAGCAACACACAGCGCAGGGAAAAATGATCTGAATTACAGCACATAAAGACGTTCGTTTTACACATGACATATGTACAGTTTTGTGACCAATCAGAAGATACATTACTTCATTTTCTGTTGCACAAAGTTTCATCATGTACACAGCTGTACAACATTTAAGTCTTAATCCTTGATACCCACACCTGAATACAATTGGTACAGTGACCCAGGTAAAATCAGCCATTTTACATTTAACTACACAATATTAATATTTAATACATTTTCATATCAAAATCTCAACGATTACAAGATAAGCAAGATTGGTCTTTTCAGTTTATGTGATCTATTTTAATTCTGGGGTCGCCTATTTCTGAACAGGGAGTAAAGAGTTTTCTATTTTTAAAAAGTATAACTCAAAAACCGTTTGTACAAACTTCCCTAAATTTGGCACAGAGCAAGAGAAAAAGAACAAAACCAATAAAAAGAATACCAAGTGAATAAAAGGAAACTAAATCCAGCAAGGTATTGTGGGTAAGACATTAGGAGATATAATAATGTACATATTATTATTTTTTTCATCAGTGCAGTATTTTGATGCATTGTTCTGTACAGTCACCTCAGTTGTGTTTTCAAGCACCTATTAAGCTTGAAAACTGCTTGAAAATGTCCACACACTGTTCTCTTCTGCTTCATGACACATCCAGTTTACAATCAAGATCACTGCTGGAGATGAAACTGGCCAGACTGACGTGCTCCAGAAGAACTGGATTGGATCCACAGTGACTGTTATAATACACAATATTATAATAACCTATTGCAGTTCCAAATGGCATCCAATATGATTCAGTTTTGCTCTGGTTTTTAGAGCTACAACACCGTTTCAGTTAGTATAGGACCATCCTTTTTTCCCACCACTTCTCTGCCTGCTGCTTATCCAACCTATCCCATTCATACACACACACCACTCTACTCCCTCAAGTGCCATTGTGTCTTTGATACTTTTCCCCTTGGATCCTCTGTTCAAAAATGTGGATGTGCAATTCATTTTTCTTTTACCTGTAATTAAAATCCAAAGATGCATGTATCATAGAATCGTAGGGTTGGAAGGGATGTTGGAAGTCTTCTAGTCCAACCCCCTGCCCAAGGCAGGAGACCACATACCATCACGGACCTCATACCATCCTGGACAGATGGCTGTCCGATTTCTTCTTGAAAACCTCCAGCGATGGGGCACCCACAACATTGGGAGGCAAGCTGTTCCACTGCTTAATGGTTCTCACCTCCTTATTTCCAGGTTGGATCTCCCTCTGGCAATTTTCCACCCATTGGTTCTTGTCCTACCCTCAAGCGCAATGGAGAATAAATCGATGCCTTCTTCCCTGTGGCAACCCTTTAGCTATTGGAAGACAGCTATCATGTCTCCCCTCAGTCTTCTCTTGGTTAAGCTAAACATTCCTAGTTCTTTTAGTCCTTCTTCATAGGATTTAGCCTCCAGTCCCCTTATCATCTTTGTTGCTCTTCTCTGCACCCCTTCCAGGGCCTCAGTGTCTGTTTTGTATTGTGGTGACCAGAACTGGACACAGCACTCCAAGTGCGGCCTCACCAGTGTGGTACTTTCACTTCCTGTGATCTTGATGCTAGTCCCCTGTTGATAGATCCTAGGACTGTGTTGGCTTTCTTGGCAGCTGCAGCACATTGCTGACTCATCATTAGGCGATGGTCCACCAGGACACCTAAATTCCGCTCACAGGTACTACTGTCGAGCCAGGTACCACCTATCCTGTACTTGTGAATCTGGTTTCTCTTGTCTAAGTGCAGGACCTTACTTTTCCTGCCTCTGAACTGCATCTTATTGGATAGGGCCCAATGTTCAAGTCTGTCTAGATCCTTCTGAATGTTGGGTCTATCTTCCAAAGTATTAGCAAGCAAATTTGATGAGTGCTCCTTCAATCCACTCATCCAGGTGATTTCTGAAGAAGTTGAAGAGCACTGGGCCCAAGACAGAACCTTTAGGGACCCCACTGCACACTTCCCTCCACTTAGATGTGGTTCCATTGAGGGCCACACGTTGAGTGTGGTTGGTCAGCCAGCTGCAAATCCATCTGGCAGTTGCACCGTCTATTCCACTTTGTTCTATCTTATACAGAAGTAGGTTGTGGTCTACCTTATCAAATGCCTTACAGAAGTCTAAGTATACTCTATCCACCTCATTTCCTTGGTCCACTAATTTAGTCACTTAATCAAAGAAGGCAATCAGAGTTGTTTGGCATGACCTGTTCTTAATGAACCCATGTAATCTTCTAGTAATCACCTTGTTATTTTCTAGGTGCTCACAAATCTGCTGCTTGATTATTTTTTCCAGGATTTTCCCAGGTTTTGATGTCAAGCTGATTGGTCTGTAGTGCCCTGCATCCATTTTCCCCCCTTTTTGAAGACTGGAACCGCATCAGCTCTTTTCCAGTCCTCTGGCAGTTTGCCCATGCTCCAGCACCTCTCAAAGATTTCATTCAGTGGTTCCAAGATCACATATGCCAGTTCTTTTAGTACCCTGGGATGTAAACCATCCGGTCCAGGAAACTTGAACTCATTCAAAGCAGCCAGGTGTTCTTTTACCATTTCCTTACCTATTTTGACCTGCTTCCCTCTCCTGTCTTCCACAGTGCTGCTTTTGACAGGGTGGACCAGTTTTTCCTTTTTCATAAATAGAGATCCAAAAAAAAAAAATTTCCACTTTCTCCCTGTTGCCTGTCACCAACCATTTTCTTGACTTTCCTCTTGCTCTTTATACGCTGAAAGAAATTTTTTGTTATTTTTGGCATTTGTTGCTAGTCTTAGCTCTGAGCCTTAGCCTTCCTGACTCCATCCTTGCAGATGTAAATGCTTTTAAAAAATAAAAATAAAGAAGGAGCAGTAGTGGGACTTAATGTTCCAAGCAGGTGATGTTGCACCCATTCCCTGATATGACCACAGTGATGATCTGCACACTGAATTAAAACAAAGGGGAAATGTGCTGCAGTTTGGGCATGTCTCATGTGTGGGATCTCACCTGTTTGCAGCTAACCTGCAGCAAATACAATTTCTGCAGTTATCACAAATATGTACTTCCAGCCTCTGTCAGTGCAAAGTATGTAATCTGTGTTTTCCTCCTTGATAAGGCTGCATGAAAATGAAAAAAAGTTTTGCAATGTCAGTAGCATTTGTCCAGAATGGGAAGTGAGAGGGTTTAAGAAGGAAACAACACAGAATATAGGGTTTTTGTGTGACACTCATAGGAGCATACCTGAAACTTATAAAGTATTTTTACCATCTTAAATAATATATAAAAACAGACAGGGCATTGTTTCTATATAAATTGCTTTGGATGCTGGCGGCAGATGCCCACTTTCCTTGATCATGTAGGTATGTCTGTTCTACTAGTCGATTGGGGTGGGACCACTGCTGTGCCCTTTCTGGCTGCCTGCTTGGTTCAGTTTGATCCTGTAACTGCAGAGGATCCACTACCTCTGTGCTCGACCTTTGCCCATCTTGGCATATAAAAGCTCCCAGAGGGGCTATGGTGGATTGGGTCATGAATATTATCAACTCTTCACTGAGAGAGGGATTTTCCTCTCCTGTATGAGAGAAACCATCATCTGATCCATCATTAAATGACTACAGTTTGTGACAGATTATTTTAATAACTTTTGTCCGATTGGCAACATACCTTTTATGGGCAAGTTGGTAGAACGGGTCATAGCTGTTCAGCTTCAGACTTACCTATAAAAGCAGGACTGCCCTGACACATTCCGGTCTGGATTCAGGCCACAACAAGGTATTGAGATGGCCCTGGTTGCACTGCAGGGGGACGTAGCATTCTGCTGAGTCTCCTGATTCTACTGTCAACCATGGCATCCTTCTGGACAGGCTCTCGAAGACTGGGTTCGGAGGTCTAGCTTTAAACGGGCCCCAGTCCTTCTTCAAGGACTGTGTCCAGAGAGTGCAACTTGAAGATGAGTTGTTGGTTCCTTGGACCCTCAATTGTGGGGTGCCTCAGGAATCATAAGTATCCCTAATGCTATTTAACATCTATGCGAATTCACTGAGGGAGGTCATCAAGGGATTTGGAGTAAAGTGTCCTCAGTACACAGATGACACGCAACTAACTCTCGTTTACCACTCTGCAGTGGAGGCCATCCAGATGCTTAAGCAATGCCTGGCCTTGGTACTGGGATAGACCAGGGCAAACAGGCTCAGACTGAACCCAGGCAAGACAGAGTTTCTGTTCCTGGGGGGCCTCTGAAAGGGGTATTCCTAGACTGGATGGCATTGCCTCTTATTTAGTGATCAGGTTTGCAATCTGGGCATTCTTCTGGACCCGGCTCTTTCTTGGGACTCCCAGATTGCAGCTGTGTCCAGACTGACCTTCAAACAGCTGAGGCTTATTGCCCAGTTCTGCCCATACCTTGATGAGGGCTCCTGCAGGACATTGATGCAGGCACTGGTGAGCTCCTGGATTGACTACTGCAATGCTCTCTATGTGGGGCTCCTCTTGAGGTTGACCCAGAGACTACAGTGGGTCCAGAACACAGCAATCAGACTGGTGGTCAGTGCAAGCAAATATGATTGCATCACTCCAGTCCTAGCCAGTCTCCACTGGTTACCCATTGTGTCCCAGATCAGATTCAACATTCTGACACTCACATATAAAGCTCTTCGTGGTTTTGGGAGCACATTACCTGTTGAGCATCTTTTCCCAATGTCACTGCCCAGCCCACTAGACCATCTCAGCCCCGGCTCCTCTGGTTAGCCACCCCAAGAGAAGCCTGAAGAGAACCCTACCTCTACCTGAGGTAGGGCCTTCTCTGTGGTGTCACCAAGACTATAGAACCAGGTCCTGGAGGAGCTATGCCTCGCCTATTCCCTGTATTGATTTTGGAGACAGCTGAAATAATCTTTCCATGGATGCTTTTCAAACTAATCCTAACTGAGCATTTCATCAGCTCTACTTTTTTGTGATAATTTGTTAGTGCCACTATTTTTTTCTTTTTTTTTCTTTTAAGGCTCTTGCCACATTATTGCTATTTTGTGTTATATTTTAGTATACTGTTTTGAAGCTTTGTTTTTAACCTTTTGTAAATTGCCCAGAATAGTGTTTTGTCACTAATGGGTTAGTATTTAAATTGAACAAATGAATGAATAAACAAATGAATGAATAAGTCTTTTCAATTCACTCAATTACAACTTAACAGTCAAAATCTAATTTGATTTTGGTGGACTAAAGTGTGACCTAACCTAGTGTGGAGCCAACCCTATGGCTAGAGCTTGTCAACCTCCTCATAAACATCTGAGCAAATCTGTTTAGTTACCTAACCTTAATAAACAACCTTCACTATTTGTACACAATGAAAAATTGAATTCAGTATGATCTACCTTCTATACGTTGCTATAGGACTGCAGTCTTCACTCCCCTGATGGAAGATTTACATCTGTATCGTTACAAAGTTCTGTGAGAAACTCAAACTATTCTTTTTCTAAAAATAGGATAGCAATGGTAGTACAAAGAGTATAAAACTGAGGTATTTATAATTAAATTTGATTCTTGTTTTGGAGTTGGATAAAAAAATTATCATTACCAAATTTGAGGTGTGAATCTGTCAGCAACATGAATATAAAATGTAGCTGATTGTAGATACCTTGTACCTTGATGTTATTTCTTCCCTAATGTGACAGGAAACTTCTCCTTCCTCCTCTTATTCTTAGGGTGACCATGATGACCGATCTTCCAGGCAGTACAAGATATCCAGCCCAAGTTCCACTGGCTCAGTTGGCTACGGTCGCAACACTCCCTCTTGCCACTCTCCTCAGAGTTACAGCAGACCAGGTAACTGACCAGGTGGCTCCATTTTTTTCCCCTCAGGGTTTTGCTTATCATCTTTGTCATTTAGAAAAATAGGCTATCTTTTTAGATATGTGTTGCATGAAAATAATTCCAGGATCACTAGGATTTATTGCACAAGGTTTTAAGTGTTGCCAAATGCTGCCACTTTGAGGGAGTTCAGCATACACAGTGAAATTTATCAGGCGTGACTTCATAATAGTCTTGCAGAACTGAAGTCATAGGCCATCGTTCTGAAGCCTGCATATGCAAGATCAGTGTGAGAAGTGAGGGATTTCGGAAAGTCTTCTAAAACTTGGGGAAATTAAGCAGCTCTTTACCTTCACAGCGGTTCTCACCAAAGAGCATGCTGAGCTCCTGTCCTCTTCCTAAAAAGTTAGTCCTCATTAAATTTAACACTTCAATCTTGGTCCAAAAAGATGAGCACACAGGGAAGCACATTGTCCATGTGTTTTTTGTTAGTTTGAAAAGGATTTTGTTAGCCACCTAGAGTGTGCTATAGAGCAGTGGTTCTTAACCTTGGGTTACTCAAGGTTTGGTAATGATAAGGTTTTTGAACTGCAATTCCCAGAAACCCCAGCCAGCACAGCTGGTGGTGAAGGCTTCTGGGAGCTGCAGTCCAAAAACACTTGAGTAACCCAAGGTTAAGAACCACTGCTATAGAGAAAGCTCAGAATACAAATATCAGGGTTCTTTTGTATTAAATCTATTTTTCAGTATCTCCACCAGTTCCTTTCCAGCAAACTATTTTTATATTTACACACTGAGTCCTATTGTTTAGCATGCTAAGTTGCACTAGAGTACACCCATTGAATCAGTAGGGATTTGGTGACTCAAGTTCATAAATGCCTTTGAGTTAAATAGGCCTACTCTAATTGTGACTCACAATGTTAAAGTCACTAGAGATGACCATTAAAAATGAATTGCAAAATTCATCTAAAATTGTTAATTCATCAGAAATTCATCACTTTGTATTCATCAGATGAGACAACCCTGACGAATACAAAGTGATGAATTTTTAACAATTTTCATTTCGTCACTTCAGTTACCCATTTTTAAACCCATTTTTGTCCTGTTTTCGCCCTCCCATGCCATCTGCAACCTGCTCCTGTCAATCAGTATCTCTAGGCATCCCTGGGAGGGAGATGGGGACTCCAAATGTGCGGCTCTGAGGGAGTTGCTTGTTAAAAAGCTTTATAAGCAGTTTCCTTGCAGCCATTTTGCACTTCTGCTGAGAGTTTTCCTGTGATTGGTTGCAAGTGTCTGTGCGCTCTTGATCAGTAGGCAGGCAGCAATTAATAGCTGCATTGCGCAAAACACAATTCACAACTTTATTTTAAATAGTGGGACTTCAGGGAGGGTTTTTTTAGGTGGGTATATTTTATTTCCAGTTATTTTTGGAGGTGTGCATTAGGGTAGGGGGGTGATCTCTGTCTCTGTGTCTATGTTCATTTGATAAGTTTTTTTCTCCCATCCTCCTACCACTGCCCTGGGTTTAATCTATTTTTCTTTCCATTTCCAGTTAGTTAATGACTTTTATAGGGACGTGGTGGCGCTGTGGGCTAAACCGCAGAAGCCTGTGCTGCAGGGTCAGAAGACCAAGCAGTTCTAAGATCGAATCCACGCAACGGAGTGAGCGCCTGTCGCTTGTCCCAGCTCCCGCCAACCTAGCGGTTCGAAAGCATGCAAATGCGAGTAGATAAATAGGTACCATCTCGGTGGGAAGGTAAACAGCGTTCCGTGTCGAAATCACACTGGCCATGTGACCACGGAAAGATTGTCTTCGGACAAAACGCTGGCTCTATGGCTTGAAGAGCGGGATGAGCGCCGCCCCCTAG